GTCAAAGGTGTACAAAGCTCTGAAAATGAGAAAAGAAAATGGCCAAACCTTTAAGACTGCTAGCATTATTCTGCATATCACCATAATATTTGCTTGAAGAGAGGCAGGCTATGAGCTGAACAGCCTAATTTATGGTTGATGTGCTTTCTGACCATTATGGGCAGAATGGGGGCTTTTGCGCAGCAGTGGCTCTCAGCATTTCTCTTCACATTCCATGGGCTACAGCAAGTCACATGACCAATCCTGACTCTATTGTGTCAGGGATGCATAACCCTCTTGCTTGGAGGACAGCAAGTAATTGGGAACAGTAATACAATTTGGCACACAAAACAAATCTTCACAGAGTGTCAGGGTCAAGAGAAGCATTTGTCCAAGAAAAAATTACTCTAAACTTGCAAAAAGATAAAAATCATAATGCTTGATTAAAACAAAGACTGGATTATTTTCTAATAATCTACTTGACCCTAACCTGACAACATTTATAGGAGTGATATAAAGTCAGGCTATTTACAGACTGTGAGTCTAGCGGTCAGCCAGCAAAATTTAGAAATTATCCTGACTCTGTAGTCCAGCGGTTTACTAGTAACGTAGGATATATTTTATAATGAAATAGGCCACCAAGGAGACCAACAACAGACCACGGAAATATACCATCATATGACATCCTGTAATTTAGAGGTATGATGAAAAATGGAAAGAGTTGTGGATGTTTCTTCCACAGTTGTCATTTGGTGCTTCTGTTACAAGGGCTATGGAGGAAAAAAATAACCAAGACAGCTCCCCAAACAGCTTGACACAGTTTGATCTGTTTCTAACACCTGGTGTCATCTTCATGGCATAACCTTTAAAAAGTCATTCTAAAATATCCTGATAGATGTATACATCCCTCTACATAACTTTTTGTAGATGCTATTTGCCCACATAGTGAATGACATTATATTTCAGCAGAATTTATCATTCAACTTTTAAAAAGGAAGCTCCAGCGTTTACATCCATTTTCCATATCTCTATGTCATAAAGATAATGATTTTAATTGGACGGTTTTCTTTCAAATGTGTGCAGCCTCCTTCCACTTCCAGGTCTGAAAGACGAAAGTATATTGTATAGACCACACAACTGCCAGAGTGGAAACTGGAGCCAGTGGAAGATTCCACATATTTTCACTTGTGATTCTCTAGAGACTAGTGGTGAGGTGTCTTGGAGATGGCTTAAGAATCCAAATAACTAAATATTACCGAGTTGTTACTGTATATGGCTCTATGTTAACGGTTTCATAGGCATCACTCCTCACCATTTTTTAAACAGCTTTATTGAGGTGTAATTCACATGTCATATAATTCATGCATTTAAAGTAGACAATCCAGTGGCTTTTAGTATGTTCATGGATTATGCAGCCATCACCACAATCAATTTTAGCACATTTTCATCACCCAAAAAAGAAACCCCGTGACCATGAACAGTCTTTCCTCATTTCTCTCCTCTCCCATCTTTCCTCTCCTCACCATTCCTCAGCGCCCGGTGACTGCTTATCTTCCTCTTTTTGTCTATATATATATATATGCCTTTTCTGGACATTTAAGTATCTAAGTGTAATTATATATCTTTCAACCAATATCTTCCCATTGCCCCCAACATCCCAGTCTCTGATAACCACCATTTACTTTAACCTTCTAATGCATCAACTTTTTAGATTCTACATATAAGTGAGATCATGCAACATTTCTCTTTCTGTGCCTACCTTATTTCACTTAAACTAATGTCCTCTGGGTTCATCCACGTTGTTGAAAATAACAGGATTTCATTCTGTTTTTGGCTCAATAGTATTCCATTATGTATATATACCACATCTTAAAAATCCATGTATCCATTGCTGAACACTTAGGTTGATTGCATATCTGGACTATTGTGAGTAACACTGCAGTAAATGTAGAAGTGAAGATATCTCTTTGACATACTGATTTCATTTTCTTTACATATATGCCCAGTAGTGAGACTGCTGGCTCATATGCTGGTTCTAATTTTCCTTTTTTTTTTTTTTTTTGAGACAGAGTCTTCTTGCACTGTCGCCCAGGCTGGAGTGCAGTGGCACAATCTCGGCTCACTGCAACCTCCGCTTCCTGGGTTCAAGCGATTCTCCTGCCTCAGTCTCCCAAGTAGCTGGGACTATAGGCACCCACCAACGCACCCAGCTAATTTTTGTATTTTTAGTAGAGATGGTGTTTTAGCATCTTGGCCAGGCTGGTCTCAAACTCCCGACCTCGTGATCCACCCACCTCGGCCTCCCAAAGTGCTGGGATTACAGGCATGAGCCACCACGCCCGATTACTGGTTCTAGTTTTAAGATTTTGAGGTAACTCCATACTGTTTTTCATATTGGATGTACTAATCTACAACACAACCCGTTCTAAAATCTCATTTTAAAGATGGGAATTATGGTGGATCAGCCGTTCATCCATGGTCACTCAGCCAGCAGAGCTCAGAGCCAGGTCAGGAACATCACCCATCCTCTGCCTCACCTCGAGCCATCTCTTGTGTTGCCTTGCAGGGAGGGTGATGCCTGTCGACTCATGTGTCAGTCTGTTAAGTCCAGTAGTGAAGGAAAGTGTTCACGTGTCCATATGCATTGCAAATAAAGAGAGTATCGAAGCTTGGAGGGAGAAATTGCTCTCTTTCAACCTCTTTCTTTCTGTCCCTTCTTTATCCACCAGCCACAGTGACACAGAACATAGCAGGAAGAAAATAGTTATATTTATTCCTAAGAATATAAACTTCTGTTATCATTCTAAATTTCCAGAAACACTTATTGTGAGTGCTAAACTAATATCACCCTGGCCTAAGACAAATTGTCAATCCCTAAGGGTGATATTTATAGGAGAAAACCATGTCTCCCATTGAGGCAGAGTTCTTAGTAGAGATGCCATAGCCAGTTGCTATTATTTCAAGGTTTGTCTGTCTCTAAATATTGCCTGCTTAGGTCTGATTATGCTAAGATTACTGATAATCTGCTCTGAATTAAAGGTTTAGATGCACTTTTCCCAGGACAAAATTAAGTTTGGGGACTTCCTCTTTTGCTGGGAGCAAGAACCTAAGGAACTAAGTGTGCCGTATGCTGGAAGATGGAAACATTCCAACAGCCCGAAGTAGAGGGAAGATAAATATGGCTTCCCTACAGTAAGGCAAATCAGAGACAGTCAGTCCTGTAGCCACCACTGATCACTTGTAAATGAGCAATTCGCAATTCGATGTATTTCAAATGCCCTAATTCTGACTCTGCCTGATCTGCTACTGAAATGTTAATTATATGCCTAATCTTCTCCTGTAGGCAAAGGCAGCAGAGTTGCTAAAAATCATGGCAGGTAAAAGCCTTCAACAAGAGGTAAGGAGTAAATAAATGGAGCTGAGAGTGAGTGGTATCTCTCCAGACAGAGCCTGGCTCATTGAAAGGGGATAGATCTAACCTAAAAGGGATGCCTCCCAGTGTGACCAGGTCTTCTCTGATTTCCTTTTATAAGGAACCAGAAATCTGATTTTTTTAAATGAGAAATTGGAGTTTTATGAGTTGACAAAACTGTGCTGTGCTGGCAAAACAGAATAAACCTGAAGGTCAGTGGTGAGCTGGGGCAGTCATTTACAGAACCAGAGCAAATACTTCAATAAAACAATGATGTGTTTTAATAAAAACAGGGACTATTGTGCTTTGTAAATATCTTTATGCCTTCTAAATGTCCTTTATCCTGAAGTCTATAACGTGACAAGGGATGGCAAAGTATTTTTTGGCACGAACCATTGCACTGAATATCTTAACCCATTTGTGTTGCTATAAAAAAAATCCTGAGATTAAAAAATGTATAAAGAAGAGAGGTTTATTTGGCTCATGATTCTGCAGCCCATGCAGGAAGAATGGCACCAGCAGCTGCTCAGCTTCTGGTGAATTTCTCGGGCAGCTTCCACACATGGCAGAAGGTAAAGGGAAGCCAGCGTGTAGTGAGATCACACAGTGAGAAAAGAGGCAAGAGAGAGGGGAGGGGCTGCCAGGCTCTTCGTAACAACTAGCTTTCTTGGAGCTAACAGAGAGAGCTTGTTCATCCCTTCTCCGCTGGGAGGGCAACAATCTTTCCACGAGGGATCTGCTCCCGTGACCCTAACACATCCCATTAGGCCCCACCTCCAACACTGGGGGTCAAGTTTCAACATGAGGTTTAGGAGCCAAACATCTCAGCTATAACACTGGATCCCTAACAGGCTGACATGATGTGTTAAAAATAAGTTGTAAATAATTATACGCAAAAATGCATAGCATTTTGGAAACTTTGCCAGGTAATGAAAATATTTACCTGGATTTTAACTTAATTCACTCCATATTCTACACAAATATATTTGTAAAAGATAATAAAATATTTGAGACATGAATATATGTTAGATAACCAATTTACCTCCTCAAGAGTTAAGAAAGTGTTAAGCTGCGCTTTCTTAATAAAAAAAAAAATTTGTGATAACTGTTTTTGGTTTGTCTTTTTTTTTTTAAATTGAGACAGAGTCTTGCTCTATTACTCAGGCTGGAGTGATCATGGCTCACTGCAACCTTGACCTCCTGGGCTCAAGTGGTTCTTCCACCTCAGCCTCTGGAGTAGCTGGGACCACAAGTGCACGCCACCATATCTGGTTATTTTTTGCATTTTTTGTAGAGGCTGTGTTTCACCATGTTGCCCAGGCTGGTCTCAAACTCCTGGGCTCAAGCAATCTGCCTGCCTTGGCCTTCCAAAGTGCTGGGATTATAGGCATGAGCCACTGAACCTGGCCTAAGATGATAATTTTTTTTTTTTTTTTTGAGATTCAGTCTCGCTCTTGTCACCCAGGCTGGAGTGTAGTGGCACCACCTTGGCTCACTGAAACCTCTGCCTCCTGGTTCAAGAGATTCTCCTGCCCCAGCCTCCTGAGTAGCTGGGATTACAGGTGCCTGCCATCATGCCCAGCATATTTTTGTATTTTTAGTAGAGACAGGGTTTCACCATGTTGGCCAGGCTGGTCTTGAACCCCTGACTTTGTGAATCACCTGCCTCAGCCTCCCAAAGTGCTGGAATTGCAGGCATGAGCTGCCAAGCTCGGCCTGACAATAACTTTTAAAAAGACAAAATTAGAAGAAATTTAGTTATAGATGTGATTGGCTTCTATTTGTGATCCATGAATCAGGGTAGCCTTCATTCTACAAAATAGGATGAGAGCTTCCACAGACAATGGAAGAACAGTAGGTTTTTAAAGATGAGAACAATTAAATGAAATGAACAATTAAACCAAAATGCTGATTGGTTAACATCAGGTTACTCCAGGTTAATTTGTTGTAAGGATTAAAGCGAGGGGGGTTCCTTTTTGCACTGACTCAGGTAGACTGGGATTTTCTGTCTTGAGGAATATCTTGTCTGTCCTGGGATCTGCCTACTTTCTTAAAGTTTCAGTTTGATTATGTGGCATTTAGCATAAGTGACTACATTTCTGTTGAGTCTCATCTACGGGGACCTAGTGTAGGATCTCAGTCGAAAACAGTGGTCTCCCATAATTTTTGTTTAACACATGATTAAAAAACCTGTTCCTCACAGTTTAGTTTATTTTCAAATTCAAACTTTACTTGCTTCACTGAATCTAGCAAAAGTAATGTTTCAAAATAATGCAAAAAAAGAGGTTTGTAAAGTTGGTAAGAAAATACATGCTGAGCAAATAATCAGAGGTTTATCATCTTACCTATTTCTTATGTATTTACACTTATATTGATTTGTATTAGCTATCAAGTTAATCATGTTAAAAATGATGATGAATTGTGTTTGATGTTGAAATTAATATTTAAAGATTTAAACATTATGAGGGAGTATTCTAAATTATCTCATTCTTAACTAGTAAGGTCAAAGATTTCTGGCTACAAACTAGTTTAAAAAGACATTAGTTTCATGGGCCTTATAAAAGCAGCATTGCATTGATATTTAATACTAGGCCATGATTGAAACCGCTTCAGAAGACATCATGATCAACTACATACAGAGTAATGGCAAGTTTACTATAAAATTAACATTCTCAGTTGTCACAAGAAATCTGACAATCACTAGAATGGCAAAGCACTGTGTTCTATTTGTGTCCTTTTCAAACATGATTGATAAGAATTTGTTACCTTATTAGTATGTCATAAGTAGTCAGCAAAGTCCATCTTAAAATTTGAAAATTATTATTTTCTGCTCACATTCAACTTTCAGCAATGTACACAGTGATAGTAATGAAAGCAGCCATTAGAATACTCTATTTTCTTCAGAGTTAGCTCCCAGGTACTTTTTTTCTATCCAGATCATACTTACATTGCTTTTGTGCCTTTGGTCATAGTCATAATACACAGAGGAAGCAGGGCAGTGACAGCTATACATTTTTCTACAGAAGATCAGCTATTAAATCAAGAACCAAGGGAATTACCTCAGCCTGGACACTGAGAACCAAAGCCACACCTTCCCACTGATATTAATATGACTTTGTTATTCTACTGTTTCATTAATATTACTTTTTGAGGACTGTCCTGCCTCCAGAATAGTTTGATTTTTCATTATAGGAACTTCCCAAATGCTTTACCAACTCTTCAGAGGAAGGCATAGACTGAGTTTGCAGCCTGAGTCTTTGAATTCTTCCCCACAAATCCTCACTTCACTGTTTTCACTAAGGCCAGACTGTTGTATCATGATTCGTACACAATTCTAATCAAATCCTCTCCTTCAGGGACCCATCTTAAACTAAACATGCAATTCTCAATAAATTCTGATCTCCCCTTCTGTCCTCTGAGATGCTACTAGAAATTTACAAAGGCTGCAGTCTCTCTTTTGCCGCAGTGTATTAGTTTTCTATTGCTGCTGTAACAATTTACCACAAAGTGTTGTAAACAAGCCAGACTTGTCATCCTACAGTCCTCTTGGTCAGAAGTTCAACGTGGGTCTTACTGAACTTTAGTTCAGTGCATCATCAGGCTTCTGTTTTTTTGACTTTTCCAGCACCTAGAGGCTGCCTGCTATCCTTAGCTCCTGGCTCCTTCCTCCATCTTCACAGTCAGCAATGACAGGCTGGGAGGACTTTTCACGCTGCCTTCTCTTTGGTTCTTTCACTTCTGCCTTCCCCTCCCTCTTAAATCACAAATTTAAGAATTTGTGATTAGGCTCACCTGGATAATCCAAGATAATCTCTCCATTTCAAAGTGAGTTAACAACTTTAATTCTATCTGTGGCCTTAATTTCCATTTTTCATGTAAGTTCACATATTCACATATTCCAGAGATGAGTGTGTGGACATCTTTGAGAGGTCATTATTTTTCTGCCACATAGGTAAGCAATAATCTTTGCAATAAATAAGCAGTCAGCTTTGTCTCATCAACATGTTATGTTGGTGATATTTGGGGATCCAGCTTTGACAAGCAATTAGCACCAACATGACCTACTTGCAGAAGCTTGTCATAGCTATTTTTCTAAGTATGATAATAGATGAGTGTAATAATCCAAGCCAAGAATTATGACATTTTAAATGCAGAGACACTCTTACTCCTAAAATGTCTTCAAATAGACATTAACATACAAATATTTTAATTAGATTCTTTTAAATTCTTAAGGTGTAACCCAAAAGTGGAGTTGAAATCTCAGGTGACAATAACACCCAAATAGGGGTTCTATTCAACACTTCCAGGCACCCCCCGCAATATATACATACTCTATACAAAAGCATATTTGGAAGTGAATTCATTGTTCCTACGTAGTTGTGGAGAGACAGAAAATAGATTTTACATTTCACACTCAGTAAAACTCCCCCAGAACGTCAATTCTCATTATTCGTGGATTTTTTATTTTCAAAGCCGCCTTCTTGCTAAAATATTTGTATTTGCAAATTCACCCACCTGCTAAAATTTATTTATAACCCCAAAATTCACACTCACAGCACCTTTGTTGTCATGCACAGACTGGCCAAAAATTTCAGTCTCCCAACTTTCAAGTTCCCAACTGATGTTGAACAGAACTATGCTCTGCCTTCTTGTTTCGGCTCTCATTCTAAAACCAAGCGTCCTTTTCACAATCCATTTAGGGCCGTGTTTTTCATATTTGTGTGCTTTTTTGGTGATTTTGATGTTTACAATGGCCCCCAAGCATAGTGCTAATGTGCTCTCAAAGCACAAGAAGCCTGTGATGTGCATTATGGTGAAAATACACGTGTGAGATGAACTTTTGTTCAGATATGACCTATAATGCCATTGGCTATAAGTTCAATGCTGACGAATAAATTTTATACATTAAATAAAATGTCTTTAAACAGAAACACATATAAAACAATATGACTTGGTCATTTAATGAAAATGTTGCAGCCAGAGGCTCACAGGAACGTCCCCTTATATTTTCCCAAGGAGCAACAATTTAGTACTTGCTAATGTTGGATCTCTGAGAACCATACCCTCAAAAATGGTACTTGGGCATGTTGAGTGCTTTGAATTAAATAAAATTGAAAGGCCTCAGGACCAATATCTCTGTCCAACACCATTAACCTCCAACCCCACCCTACTGTATTAGTCTGTTCTCATGCTGCTGATAAAGACATACTCAAGACTGAGTAATTTATAAAGAAAAAGAGGTTTAATGGAATCACTGTTCCACATGGCTGGGGAGGCCTCACAATCACAGTGGAAGGCAAAAGGCACATCTTACATGGCAGACAGGAAAGAACGAGAACCAAGTGAAAGAGGTTTCCCCTTATAAAACCATCAGATCTAGTGAGACTCATTCTCTACCATGAGAACAAGATCGGGGGGAAAGGCAACCATGATTCAGTTATCTCCCACTGGGTCCCTCCCACAACATGTGGGAATTATGGGAGCTACAATTCAAAATGAGATTTGCCTGAGAACACAGATAAACCATATCACCTAGTATCCTCTTTCTTTCCGGAAGCAAGGAAGCGAGAAAGGAGGGGCTTTCTTGGAAGTTTACTTATCTGTTCAAGTCTGATCAAAGGAAGTTTCTCCAGAAGAAATGCAGTGTTTTTTGTTTGTTTTAATTTAGCCCAGTCAAACTGACACATAGAAATGCAGTTGATCTTGTTGTATAACCAGGAAAGATTAACCACCGAAGAGGAGAAAATACTAGAAGTCATTACCATGTCCAGACAGACTTTTCATCTATCCTTCTAAGGGCGGCTCAGAGAGATTATGTGAAAGACTTTATCTGCATAATGACAGCCTTTGTTTACAACAAAGTTCTGCGTGTCACCTTGGCACAATTTGCTTGTACCTCCCCCAGAGCTCAGTGGAACTTTGTACCAGGCCAGCTGTCTTTTCTTTGAGCTCATTTATTTTCCCTAAAATAATTTACTTTCCCTCTAGATGTGCCTACAGTCCCCCACTTCTCTGTCCCTTATGAAAAGGATATTTAAGACTTAACCAGGCTGGGTACACTGGCTCACGCCTGTAATCCCAGAACTTTGGGAAGACGTGGCAGGCAGATCACAAGGTCAGGAATTCAAGACCAGCCTGGACAACAACATGGTGAAACCCCGTCTCTACTAAGAATACAAAAATTAGCCAGGCCTGGTGGTGCATGCCTGTAATTCCAGCTACTTGGGAGGCTGAGACAGGAGAATCACTTGAACCCAGGAGGCAGAGGCTGCAGTGAGCTGAGATTACACCACTACACTCCAGCCTGGGCGACAGAGCAAGACTCTGTCTTGAAAAAAAACACAAAAAACAAAAAGACTTAACCAACCAGAAGGTATTTAAGATATTTAAGGCACTCCAGCCTGGGCCACAGAGCAAGATTCTGTCTCAAAAAAAACAAAAAAACAAAAAAACAAAAAGACTTAACCAACCAGAAGGTATTTAAGGCTTAACCAAAGCCCTTCTTTGAGTCTCATATTTCAGGACTCCCATCTCCATGTGCACATCAATAAATTGCATGCATTTCCCCCCAGCTCATCTGTCTATTGTCAGCTCATTTTAGCAGTGAGCCTTCAGAGGGCAGAGGGGAAGCTTT